GGGTGTACACCGTGATGTACACCCCGATGTACTGATAGCATTGCTCTTTTTACTATAGGGTAGACTGAACATTCAAATTTGGGGTTTTCCGTGAACTCTTACGCAAGTCATCCCTATTTCCTTTTTCATCTTAGTAGTTAGATCTATCATCCCAAACTCGGTGCCATCCTCTTAATATATTTTGGACGTATCTGAAAATCACATCTTCTTATCAAATGAAAAAACGCCAAACGATGTGTCAAAAAATTTATCTTCATCTTCCCATTTAACAAAAGAAGTTATGTATCGATAAGCCAAAATATATCAACAGGACAAGAAGTTCAGGACAACGGTATGCAAATAAAAGACTAAAACCTTGTACCTTGGATTTGGGCTGTTTTTTACCATCTTTTTCCCATACTTTCTCCACTTGAAGCCATCATCCAGTATCTCAACCTCTGACTTAGTTTTAAAAGCAACTTTCTCTGTGATTTCTTTCTTCTCCCTACCACTCCCACCATCTCCTGATTATATAAGAAAACACAAAGAAATTAGAGCCTGTTTGTTTGGGATTAAAATCTGATTTTGATTTAAGTCAAAGTCAAACAATTAATATTAACACCATCTTTCATGGGTCCCACAACTTTTCAACCATATACTCCAAAAACTTCTATCACAATCTACTAAAAATATAATTTCAATCCCCCACCAAATACCCTCTTAGTATATATGCATGCATTTTTTATCAGAATATCGATAAATCAGTATTCATTAATAACTTGCTTACTACTGCCTGGTCCTTCTTGGTGGCTGCTGCTGCTGCTTATTCCACTTGAGTTAAAAACTTCATCTGCTGCATAGTTCAGATTCTGAGGACAGCCAAAAACTTGATATTCCTCATCAAGCCAGTCATTCGACTCGAGAAAATCCGAAAGCTCGAAGCTGGGACAATAGTGAGCCATGCTGAATTATCAACTGAAGAATGTGCATGACCATTATCTGTATATATTGCTGAGAGTTGAGTGGATTGGTGGTGATTCCTAGCAACCTTCCTCCAATGTCGAAAGAAGCTTCATGGTTACTGCCTGTTGTGTTTAGCTGATTACTACAAATCAAATCTGGTGGGCCCAGTTAAATGCCTAACATCCGATTATGATGCCAAGTTTAATGCCAGGACAAGGAGGTGGGCCATTCCATGGATGACTTGTGCGTAGACTTTCAGATTCTGATTTGGTTGCCAATTGCATTTATGGTCTTTAGCTTACTGCCATGACTAGCTAGTCTCGCTCCAAAAATTGATTAAAATTTAATTTATAATTAATTTTAATTATAAATTTTAAGGGTTTAACAATTTTTTAACCACACATTTCATCAACTAATTTTGTTAAAATTTACTAAAAATATGATTTTTATTTTAACCAAATAGACCTCTTAATAATTATTTATTTAATTCTCATTTTAATAATCTGATTTCATTTTCATATTTAAACGTCAATTTAATTAAACTCCTATTTTTAATGTCAATTTGACTCGTTCTATTGTAAATATGATGACTTGGAAGAGAGAAATTACTGATTTCATATACTCACCTAGTTGGATGAGCTGTGTGGACGTCAATTTTGACTACGGAGAGCGTTTTAATGGTGTCAAAACTAGTAAGTGGAAATGGTATTTCAGGTACAAAAGCAACTTTCGGATTTATTTGGCTAATTTTATGAAAGTATTTTTACCAGTTAGAAGAGCTTTTAGAGAAAGCTGATCCAACGTAACTTCCTCTTAAAATACTTTTAGAATATAAAGTACTTAAAAAAATTAGTTTTCAAACAAAAATTAAAGTTGTTTCTTCCAAAAGCTCTGCTAAAAGTAGCAAAAGTTAAAACAAAAACCATGCTATACGGGTCCCTAGTGAGTTTATAAAACATATCGAGCCTCCATTTGACAGAAATTTTAATCAAAATCAATAATTAATTTTAACTATATATTTTATGGAACCCACAATTTTTCAATTTCACATTTCACTAATTTTTATCAAAATTTGCTAAAAACTGAATGTTAATCTCCACCTAAAATGGGCTAAACACTCAAAAGTGTTGTTAATATTTAAATGAATAATTATATCTAGCACCAATTGTGCTAAAGTATCGGTTTATGTGACCACACTTGATATGTTTTATTAAATTAATCACGTGACATTGTATTTAAGTAAATCTATCATTTTGATGTTGTGAAAATGTCACCGAAACTGATGTTTGATATCAGTGATACTGAATAACATTATTCTATTTAAATAGGGCGAGATATGGAGTAATATAATTTGTACGTACACATTAATTTTTTTCATACTCGGATTTTGTTAATATTTTATATAAATAATTTTTCTTCTTTAATTTTCAAAATAATCGGTGCAATGAATTGCTGGTCTAGACAAGGGGTGGCCAAAGTGGAATGATCAAAGAAATTAATGCTTCATTTCTATTTGGCAAAATCGGGGGTAAGTCAAAGTAAATTTTTGCTTTGAAAAATAGGAGTCAATGCCTTCGTGGAGGCGAATCGTGCATCCATAAAATTAGACTTATTGACTAGAAACCATCAATTGAACTCGAATCTTAACTGTAAAGAAGAGCTACCGACGACTAAAAATAATTGCTGTTGTTCGCATTATTTGTCGACTTCAATTTAAACATTACATTTTTTAAGTTTTACTTGTATAAAAATAATTAGTATAATTCTGTCAAGTGAAACAAAATTTTAAATTTACGTGTAATATTATTTTATAGAAAAATATGTGATTGAAAATAAATTTTGAAAAAATGAGAGCCAAACAAGGGCACAAATTTATTAGGGAAAATTGCAGTGTTTGGCCTCTAAATTTTAGCATTTGTATCGAATTGGTCCTCATCCAAATTTTTGTAACCTGAGTCTTCCTCATCGTTTCAATTTTGTAGCGACGATAGTTTTAATGCAAAATAAATCACAGTTACAAATTAAAATGTTAAGAGTTTAAAGAAAAGCCACCCCAAACCTCCTCATTCTAAAGTACTATGAGCCTCCAGCGTGGTAGCCAAAGGAATGACTTTCTTCGCGGTGGTTTCCACCGAGGCACCAACGAATAATATAGTCAGTTTGTGCTCTCAAGTCTAACATGAAAATCATTTTCCTTCGAAAAACTAGTGAATATATATATTCAATTGTTAAGATGGGTTTATATCGAATATATGATATTTACTCTCCCTTCATAAATTAATTTTTATAATTATAGAAATGCTATTTGCAGTCATTCACTACATTAGTTGTCTCATATGACATACATGTGAAGATTAATGATTTGATGGACGAGACAATAAAAAAATATCACATTAATGCATCAAATCATTAACTGTCATATGTATGTCACATAAAGCGACTACGATAATAAACAACTGCAAATAACATTACTCAAATTTAATTATGAGAGATTGAATATTTGGTTCTCAACCTTTAAAAAATATTGCAAATCTACCCTCAACATTTAAAATGGCAATAGACATCCTAATGTTTGATGAAATAGGCACAGTGCAGCCCCCCCGAGGCACATCCCAACTGGCAAAGGACTTGACTCTTAGTTGCTTGCAGTTCAAAGGTCGTGAGTTCGATTCGTGGGGCTCTTGGAAGGCAGACTCTCTCCTAGAAGGTATGATTTATCCTGAAAGACAGGAGTTCTCCTGAAAGACAAGATGCAACATGTGTTGACTCACTCAATACTTTGGCAGATCAGTGGAGGGGACTCTTGGACCCTGGCCAGTTTGGAGGACATCCCACGGTTTACCTGTTCTGCGTCTTGAGGGGCCAAGACGTAGATAACATGATTAGTCGCCGAAGGTGGACACCTGAATATCAAAAAAGAAAGGCATGGTGCATCCATGTTGATAGAATCCGTCCAATTTGGCTGCCAAGGTAATGTGATATGATAAAGTTATCTTCCTCTTCAAATAAACAAAAAAAAAAATGGATAAAGAAAAAATTATTGGTGAATGACGATTGTACTCCTACGTCCCTAGATATTATTACCATATGTATTTCTATTCATTTCCTATAAATATAGGGGCTTTGGTTCTTAGTATTATACACACAAGTCTATGGACTTCTCTTACCCTCATCTCTTTTCTCTCTTTTTATAACATGTTATTAGTATGGAAGCTTAATTTGTTAAAGAAAATGCAGTAATTTTTTATAATCATTTATCACGTATACCAAAATCAATTTGATAACATGTGAATTTGTTTTTCATATAACATATATTTCTTCAATAATCTGTAGAATTTGTACAATTTGTTTAATGAAGAATTGATACACGTACTTCTTTCAACTTTCTTTAATAAACTTGTATCAATTATGGTCCCACTGTAATGAACTTTTTCTGTACCAATTTCTGCCCAACTTTTGTATTGTCTCCCTCTCATTACTGCTATGAATTTTTTTTTTATTTTTCAAACATTATGTGAATAATCTGCAATGTTTGTTTGTACATATAATAATTTATACTTTAATTCATGTATTCTTTGCTCTTATTTTTTTTAATAATTATAATAGATATGTTTATGATGATTACTGAATATTCTTTGTGTATTTAACTTGATTAAATACTTTTATATGTTCTTCCATAAATTCTAAATTAATAATTTATCACGTTGTTATTCATGAAGTAACACAACATTATAATTAATATTCTAGATTACTTACTCTTGAAGAACATCAATTATAATTTTCAATCTTCCAGAAGAATATTGACATATTGCTCTTGAAGAAGCACAACTCTGTAAATATTATATTCTCATAGAAAATATACTCTTGAACGGTTAATGTTTTCTAAATAATAATTTATTGTTGCTCTTGAAGTAGCACATTATTATTTATGTTCTAATTATATTTTGCTTGCTCCCAAAGAGCGTAATTAAAAATTATATTTTTACTCCTGAAGAGTAAATTCTTATACAATTTATTATATTAAATAATAGTATGTTTTGCTCATGAATAGCATGACACTACGATTCAAATATTCCAAAGAAAAAAATTAATATATTACTCTAGAAGAAGCAAAATAATATATGTTTATTAGTATTCTTAAAGAATCCTGTATTGTGTTCTTGAAGAAGCATAAGTTTATGACATACTAATATTTTCAAAAAATGTTATGATTAATTTAAATATATTGATATTCCTGAAAAATATTGTTCTATTTTTTGTGAATAATCATAACTAGGTATATATCTATATTCCAGTAAAATATTGTTTTGATATTATAGAAGAATCAATATTGCGTACTATTGATAATATTCTCTACTAAATTAAAGAGAAATATGCTAAGTTTCTAAAATGTGTGGTACAATTAAAATAAATATTATATTGAACCAGAAGTTCAATTTGTTTGGGACTACCAGTTGGATCATCACTGGATCAATAATGATGCGAAGAACCAGAAGATTCTTTAGTCCAAAGAATTCATATTTAATATTTATTCTCTTTATTGAAAATTAGTCATTGATCGTTACTAGTTAAATATAAATTGAATTCCTTATATTTTTGAAAACTAATTAGAGTGATAAATGGGGCTATATCATCCTCCATCTTGACCATCTAAATATTATTTGTATATAATAGATTTTATAGAAATACTAGATGATTGCATGCTGTTCGCAACCTGAAGTTTATGAAAGTACTGTTCAAATTATGAGCATAATTTTCAGATTATACAATTAAGACGGTGTGTCTTTTTAATACTAGTGATCCTAAATCTCAAATTTTTAATATGTGCTAGTTGAGATGTTGATAAATTGTTTTAACATTATTGTTTGTTAAATTCCTCCTATTAATTTAATTGAGAACCAAATACTTCATATTTTAGTTTAGAGAAAGTCATTACGCATCATGCCAACATCATGGTTCTCCTAATTATAAATTTGACTTATGGTTTGAGCCTAATTTT